CCTGGGTGTGATCCGCCCCGCCCTGCGCATTCGTCCTCGGGTCACTTTCAGGAGCCGGGGAAGGGGCTTCCGCAGGGCGCACCCACGGTGCGCCGGGTGGGACTGCGCAGTCAGATTGTGCCCCGCGTCCGAACCCTGCGCTGGGAGGCGGGTTTTACCCTGTTCTGTGTGCCGTTCAGGAAACTAAGACCCAGAGACAACAGCGCCTGGTCCCACGTCGTGCCAGGCAGTGGAGGGCAAGGCACAGTGACCGAGACAAATGCTTGTATCCAGTCAATACATTTATACTGGGTGCATGTGATGTGCCAAAAGTTGTTCTAGGAGCTGGGGACACAAAGATGGAAGATTCTGGAGCAGTCTAAAGTCTAGTAGGATATTGGATGCAGGGACAAGGTTTGTAAAAGGGGCCTGTGCGGAATGCAGCCGGTAGGGTATAGAAGGTAAAGATGGACTTGATGTCAGTACATTAAATGCTATGACATGCCTGACTCTCTCTCCATTAAGGAAATGTCCGGTACATAGCAGCCACCTGGTAAAATACTTGTTGAATGTGCAAGTGCAATAGTGGGCCAAGGAAAACATGGAAATTTTAAAGCAAAGAGGTGGAGATAAATAAGGAGGGAGGGGGACTAAAGAGGAATTTCAGGAAAAAGGAGAGCAGCGCCAGAGACAAGAAATGTAGAAAATCTAGACCTCCCTTCATAGGAGGAAGTAAGGATGGAGAAGACAGATGCTAAAAGACCACGAATAGAAAATAGAATTTATTGGGCACTTACCACGTGCCAGGCACTGTCCTGCACATTTTACACATATTATTACTAGTAACTCTAATCCTTACACCAACCCTATGCAATACTGTATTATATCCTCATATTACAGGTAAAGAAATAAAGGCATGGAGAAAAAGAGTTTGTGCAGTGTCACACAGCTAAGTAAATGGCACAGCCATAATATGAGCTCACATATTCTGGCTTCACAGTCCTTGTTCGCATCCTCTGCTAAGGCGTTTGAATTGTGTCATGTGGATAATAGAAAGTTAAGGAAACAATAATTCTCACTGTGAAGCTACACCTTGAAATGCTCCACGAAAAAAGAAGTACATGGCCACATAGATTTGGGAAACTGCTCACTGCTGCATAGCTCTCTTGTAGAGTCCGGATGCATGTCTGCACATGAAAGGGCTCTGAGAAGTCCTGCAAAGGGGGGGTGGGGGGTAGCTGTATTTAAACTCTTGATTCTAAACCTGTGTCAGCATAGAACTTTTTATCAAGCAACACCATTCCTTGGAACCAGTGTCATGTAGAACATGTAGGTAGAGTGGTTGCATTGCAAAGGAGTGTGGCATAATTAGAATTGTGTGAGAGCTTTCGGGCGGCAGTGCAGAGTGGGGAAGAAACACTAGAGGTAATCGTAGTGCTCCAGCTGAAAGGTGATGGCTTCAGACACCCAGGGAAGGCAGCTGGTGCAAGGGGTAGATATGAGAAATACTGAGGAGTTGGTTAGAATCAGCAAGATTTTGTTTATTTTTAGTGAAACAAGGAAGAAATTGAGGTTTCTGGCTGGGGCATCAGGTAAGCAGTGGGGCCATTTACCAAGATAGGTCCTGGAAGAGGGTTTGCTTTGGGAGGAAGATGATGACCTAAGACTTGGGCATTTTGAGTTGGACATGCCTCTGGTACGTCCAGATGAAGACCCCCAGCAGGGACTTGAATATATTTTTCTGGAGTTCAGGAGCAACTTGAGAATTCATCCTTGACTGGGGAAGCAAGGCCTTGGCAAACTGTAAGCATAGGAGAAAAGGGCACTATGCGAGCCACTGCAAATAAAGTTATGAAAAAGGGTAGCTCTTGCCTTGTTATCACAAAATTTACCTTCTCAAGGCAAATGCCACCAGGAAAAGGGTACCAACAACACAGTGTGGTAACAGTTTTAATGGGAAGGGAGGTGCAGTACCAGGGATCACAGAGAGAGGGTGTCTACCAGGAGGCCTCTGCCCAGGGAAATTGACATCTAAATTGACCTGAGAAAGAACACTAGTTACCCAGAAGAGGGGGGAAAGTAAGTTCCGAATTGACCTGAGAAACACTAGTTACCCAGAAGAGGGGGGAAAGTAAGTTCCAGGCAGAGGAAATAACGGAGAGAGTTCTGGAGACGAGAGAGAGAGTGTGTGGCTGATTAAAGGAAAAGAACCAAGTTAATTTTTTGAGAGCTCAACCCCAAAGATGGAGGGTGATGAGGGGCCAGGCGAGAGAGGTTAAGGTTAGCAGGACCAGTGAGGTAGGGCCACATCTGAACTTTATCCTAAGAGCCGTGACGAGCCTTCGAAGGGAGTAACATCCTTGGAAATATGCCCCTGACCACAGTGTAGTATAGGTAGAGCGAGTGAAGAGAAGCCTGTTAGGAACGTCATAGTAAATCCAGATGAGAGATGACACTAGAACCAGAGAGTGGCAGAGGGCCCCAAAGCAGTGGATGGATTTGGCTAGAGAAATACTTGGGGCCTTGATGCATGGTTGGCTATACAAGGTGAGGGGTGAGTCCTGCATAGAAGCCAAACTTTAAGCAATGGGCAGAGTGGACAAGAAGCCAGGGGCAGAATAATTAGAGGTGAGTCTGGAAGCCAAGAAGAGCATTTCAGCCACCTAGGGAAGGGTGGCCCACAGTGTTCAGTGCTATGAGAGCAGGGTGCTAGGATGAGGTCAGAGAAGTGAGGATGCAACAGGAAAGCTTGGTCTTACGAAGACAGCAGCCAGATTTCAGGGTGCAAGGCAAGGAAATGGTGCCAGCAGATGTAGGTCAGGAGCAGAGAACCAGAGAATGAGCAAGCCAAGGGGGTTGAGTTCTAAGCATGAAACTCAAACATGATATGACAAGGATCGAGTGAGGGGAAGGACTAGGAAATATTGGACAGATGGTGGTCCCCAGAAAGCAAGAGGAGATGGAATTCAAAGCACAAATACGGAGTAGAAATGATGGATTGAGGTAGCCTCTGAACTGAAAAATATAAAATAAAAAGAAAAGGTGGGGGGGAGAAACCATGTGCTCCCATGATCCTGGGCATTAGAAAGCTTTGAGTTTGATTTTTTTCTTCCCTTTGCCTCTCTTTTCTTGGAGGGCATAAAGCTCACATTGGCCATGCCTGCTTTCATTTCTCCTGCAGGAGTCTGCGGCTGGATCAGACCAGCTGGGATGCTCTAGGACAGTGGTTCTCAACCTTCTGGCCCTTTAAATACAGTTCCTCATATTGTGACCCAACCATAAAATTATTTTCGTTGCTACTTCATAACTGTAATGTTGCTACTGTTATGAATCGTAATGTAAATATCTGATATGCAGGATGGTCTCAGGCGACCCCTGTGAAAGGGTTGTTCGACTGCCAAAGGGGTCGCGACCCACAGGTTGAGAACCGCTGCTGTAGGACAAGCATGTCAAACTCCCGGCCCATGGGCCACATTTGGCCCACAAGGAATATTTTTGCGGCCCAGCCAATATAACGGTGTGAGCAGTTATTTACAATTCTGAAAGGAAATAAGTTTCCTGTCAGATCCAGAATTACTGACATTCACCGTGGGTCAGTTTTGAAAGTAATCACTGCGAACAAGATTTCCCCCGAAGTAGGAAAGAGAGTAGCAGAGAAGAGATGCCAAGTGTCAGGAAGAAAACATTAATTTTATTATTGCTCTTGTTCTCTTCTTTTTATACTATACTTTTCGAAATAAAACTACGTTTCTATGAAAATTGAAGTTTTTGGTTTTTTGCGGTCCACATAAACTTAAACCTTGTTTATTACTTTTTTTTATACACTATACTTTTCGAAATAAAACTATGTTTCTATAAAAATTGAAGCTTTTGGTTTTTTGCGGTCCACATAAACATAAACCTTGTTTATTTGGCCTGTGTTAGCCTTTGAGTTTGACATGCTTGCTCTAGGAAACCCCATAGCACTTGGTGTGCTCAGTGGTGCCCACCAGATGGCAGCCTTGATCCATGGTAGCGCGCACACTCGCCTCCCATGTAGTTTTTTACTGCAATTCTGTTTTTGAGATCTTGACTATCACTGAGTTCAATCCTTTTCTTTCTTTCTCCTTCTTTCCCCTCAGATGTTTGAATGGGGGGTGGGGGAGGTCATACACTCACTTATCTAAAGGGACCCCACTATGACAAGGCCCCCTGGACAATAAATAGAAATAAAACCCTTTCTCAACAACACTCAAACACAGAAAGCAGGACCAAAGAAAGCCAGAGAAGGGACTGCCCAAGAACTAGGAGGTGACTAGGACAGGGAAGGGATACAGAAGGCAAGGGTAGAGGGCCAGGTGTGAGCGCAAGAGTGGACAAGCACAGGGAGCCTGGGCAGTGGTCTCAGAGAAAGGATGGAGGCATGAGGTGGTCCCCAAGGAGGCCAGGGAAACAGGCCCAGAACCTTTTTGAAGAAAAATTAAACACCTTGAGGACAATGGGGAAACACAGAGAAAGGGGGAATGAGATGCCCAAGTAGTTACCCTGGGTCAATTTGGTTAAAGTTCCTAACCTAGTAAGAGCTGAGACCTCACCCAGACCAGAGACCCCATTTTTAACTAACTTGTGTCCCAGAGTGCTCATCTCGGCTCCTGCAGGGATTTATTAAGAAAGAACGAGCTTACAACACTGGAAAGACTCTGAGTCCACTTTTTGTCCAGGGTGATGTCTATTTTTTTTTTCTATGTACAGTGTTTGCCAATAGCTACTACTTTGCTAGCATTTTAACACTAAGGCTGCAGAATAAATTACTTTAAGACTTCTTACTTTTGGTTTTCTAGTTATACTTTACATGTTTTTCTTTTTCCTTTCTTTTCCCTAGATGTCAGTGTCCAAGTCATTCTCATACTTACTCCCAAGGTAATAATATATATTTTGTGTTTTTAAACTACACTTTCCATTTCCACAGTTGGCACTCCGATACATTTGGTCAAAGGGTAAAGCAAGAAAATCAAAGGCTCATTCTCATACTTACTCTCAAGGTAATAATATATATTTTGTGTTTTTATACTAACCACACTTTCCATTTCCACAGTTGGCACTCCAATACATTTGGTCAAAGGGTAAAGCAAGAAAATCAAAGGATATAAGAAGGAAATTGATGAAAATGACTGCCTTTTCACTTGAAATTGGCAATATGTAGTTCTAATTATATGAGGTTAGCTGAATGTATGCTACAGAGTATGTGTTTGGCACATACTTATACATATATACATAAATATTTAATGCTATTTTTAATGTATTTCTGTTTTAAATGGAATTATTTGCCAAAGCTAAAAAGGATGCCACAGATAGGATCTTAAGATTGTCTGAATGCATCAAACAGAATTCATTACGATGAAATCTTTGGAAGTTTCTTATACATCTCAAAAAAAGAAAGGGGCTAAAGACCAAGGTGCTTCCTAGAAGGGAAAACCTTGTATATATTAATTTTTAAAATAGCATTCTATTTCTTAATAATTAAAAATAATGACCAAAGTTTTCAATTCCCACAAACGTCTTAATCCTTACCAACTCCATTGTCTACGGAGCAGCAGGAAGCTCATTGTAGCTTCTGCGTGTCCTCAGAATGTCACATGAATTATTGACACAAACACTGATTTCACCTCTTAGAAGAAAAGGTCAAATCTAAACAGTTACGCAAGGGATGAAAAGGAAGGGGCCCAACCAAACAGGACCCTAAGCAGAAACCCCAGAGAAGCCCATTGGGAGTGGAACAGATACAGAAACTAAGTGCTTTGCCTGCCCGTGGAGTGACTCACCCTTCAGGACAAGCCAAGGGACCTCCCATTCACTAATGGCCATCTACCAAGACAAAGCATGCCCAGCCCTTCGGGCCCTCGTGAACATGTGCAGAATTTCGTCTTCAGCTGGTTGTATCCCATTCTTACTGGGTTTCAACAAAGATTCAGGAATTTCCTATTTGGGTGAATAAAATTAGTAGTTTAGGGAAAGTTCATTTCATTGTTTAATAGGATCCAATTTATGTGTTTTCCTAAACTTTAGTCACAGAGTAATAGATTATTTTTTTAAACCTATAGAGATCAAAGAACTTTGGGTTTTTCATTCAGGAAACTAGTTGTAATCTCTTTTCTTTTTTTCAATCTTATGACTAACCAGGAGTGATTAAAAATAAGCAGATAAAAACAAGGGTAAAGTTCATTTAGTGGGGTCCTCTGGTTTTACTATGACAGAAAATTATTTTTTCCCTAACTACAACTGTTGCAAAGGAGTATCAGTTTATAAAAATTTTTATTAAATTTCACAAAGAAAACTAAAATTTTTATACTTACAAGCTTGAGAAATAGAAATATCTTACTGTGATAAGTAACCTCCATGGAAAAATATTAATTGAAACAAATGGTCACAGTTGCTATAAGAAATGTAAGCAAGACTCTGATTAATGAATTTACTAATAGTTGCTCTCTAACAATAACCCAGCTCTAGAGTATAGAAGATTTTTTTTCTAGAAGAACTTTACACATTATGTTTTCAAAAGTATATTTTCATTTCAATGGATAAAATATTTTAAGTTACTTTATTTTCACACCATCAGCATCAAGTTAGCATTACATTCTCTTAAAATGCAGGTTTTAATTTTAATTTTATACGCAACAATGAAACCTGAAAAATATATTTTAGCTAAGGCTTCAGGGGAGATGCTTATGTTCACTGCTAGAATATCAATTTACTATCAAATAATATTTTGCCTTGTTTTTGAGGCCTACTCTGATCCTAAGTTTTACATTTCTAGCTCCTGGGCTTTCACCTTCTGGAAAAACAACAGATTATGCTTTTGAGGTAAATGTAATCAGTCCATTCTTTCTTTTATGGGTGACCTAAAAAAAAATACTAGAGTATTTTGCTAATGCATTATTATCTCATTTTAAATCTGCTGTTAATTAATGTCCCTCATTCTCACTATTTGATCTGGCCTTATTTAGAAAAGTACCTTGTTAGAATAATGGACTATAAATCTTCTGATAACATGAATAATGTCTAGATACTGTCTTCTGTACAGCCATTGAAATAGAACAATTTTCCAGTTCTAGGCAACTTTCTGCTTTACATATGTTGTACGTTAAATCTTCTTTAGCTTTGTAAGTATAATCCCCAAAGGGGTCCATGTAATCTTTTGACACAAGAATAAAGGAACAATTAATTCTGATGAATTTTTATCACACTGTAATTACAGAATTACTTGTCTAAGTCCCTGTCTCCTCCTAGTTCAGTACTCATAAATTAAATGTCTCCAGTGGCCTGACGGTTAACCAGTCCATGAGCAGGCTGGGTGAGGACAGTGCTGAGTTCTCTGGGAGCACAGGCCCATCTGAAGGATACAACCTCCACTCAACCCCATTGCTGCCACCTGGGAAGTTATTCAAGAGAGATCAGACAGTCACACTGGACATTTTTACCCTGATTTTTAAGAGTTATGAGACAATTCAAAACAGAAGAAATCTAAACATAATGTGGATCAAACAAAACATGTCTTTGGGCCAATAGTGACCCATCATCCAATCAGTATAAAAGTTCTTCTCTTAGCTGTAAACATTAGGAAGCTATTTTTCTTGTTCCTAATTGTATAATCAGAGCCTAGCACTATGCCTGGCGTATAGCAGGCACTTAGTAGCATTGAGTGGGTGGAAGACTGGGTGGGTGTATGGATGGATAGATACGTGCATGCAAAAGAAGTTGGATAGATGAATGGTTGGATGGATGAATGTATGGGATGAAAAAATACGTGAGGAATCAGCATTTAAATTGGAAAATAAGAAGAAATTTGAGAGGTAACTTATTTGTAGAGCAAGGAAAGGCAGGCAACAATTGAGAGTTCATGAGATGTTTGGGAAAATATAAGTAATTCCAGTGTGACTAGTGCCAAGGCTTGCTTAAAGAAGTATGATGAGTCTGAGGCCAGATGGGGTGACTTGGACGTATATATAAAGAATATATACTTTATAGGCAATGAGGAGCCATTTCCGGCTTTTAGAAATGAAATGGCCAATCTCCAACCCATCCCCCAAATCTTTTTTTTTTTTTCAGATGGCTGTTTCAAATATTAGATATGGAGCAGGAGTTACAAAGGAAGTGGGAATGGCAAGTATTTAAGATTTCTAGAGTCTACTGTAAAGGTTACATATCTTCTAAAACAAGTGAAAATGCACAAGAGATGAGGCCTTTGTTCTTTAAAGTGTTTAATATTTCCTGACCAGTGTGGCTCAGAGGTTGAATGTCGACCTATGAACCAAGAGGTCATGGGTTCAATTCCTGGTCAGAGCACATGCCCAGGTTTCAGGCTCCATCCCCAGTAGGGACCGTGCAGGACGCAGCCAGTCAATAATTCTCTCTCATCATTGATGTTTCTATCTCTCTTCCTCTCCCTTCCTCTCTGAAATCAATAAAAATATATTTAAAATAAAAATGTTTAATATTAAGTTGGCCAGAGTGTCTGTTATATTTCTAGTGTAATCAAACCTAACTTATAAATTATTTTTGTTATTATAGGACCTACAGAACATGGGTGCTAAAAATGTTTGTTTGATGACAGACAAGAACCTCTCCCAGCTCCCTCCTGTACGAATAGTTATGGATTCTCTAGTGAAGAATGGCATAAACTTTAAGGTTTATGATAATGTGAGGGTGGAACCAACCGATAGAAGGTACCTTTTCATTGTTGTTTTTTAAGTGGAAGCCAACACATACCACTGTTGTTTAAAATTTGCCCCAAGAGTTACTTAGTGGCATGTCAGTTTATGTTTGAAAAATATGACATAATGGCTTCTGTTTTTCTTTCTTACAGCTTCATGGAAGCTATTGAGTTTGCCAAAAAGGGAGCTTTTGATGCCTACGTTGCTGTGGGTGGTGGCTCCACCATGGACACCTGTAAAGCCGCTAATCTGTATGCATCCAGCCCTCACTCTGATTTCCTAGATTATGTCAGTGCCCCCATTGGGAAGGGAAAGCCTGTGTCTGTGCCTCTTAAGCCTCTGATTGCAGGTAAAGACTGTCGTTTGTTTGTTTGTTTGTTTGTTTGTTTGTTTGGGTTTGCAATTGGCAAAAGGCCTTAGGAAATATTCGAGCCAGGAATTTTAGGGTATGTGTTTCCAAAACTTTCTGATTTCTTCATTTCAGTGTGCTACCTTGTTTAGCAATCAAAACAGAGAGCAATTCATTTATGTTTAAAATTCTGATCTTCATTATGCACTAATATAGACAATTGGGTCAGTGGTAGGAAAGTTTGCAGGTTTAAGCTGTGAAGTCACTATGTGAAAGAGAGGGGACAGTTCATCATTTATGTATTATTAGCTCCCTCTATAGGCAGCTTTGTCTTCTAAACCCCTCTCTGTTTTGTCCCATTTTGCCAGCCACTGTGGAATTTAAGGGGAATATTCACTATTATTTTTCTGGTGTTGACTTAACCCTTTCCTACACATAATGGTTCTTCAGCTGACCTGAGACTCTGTCTCTGCCCTGGGACATGTGGCCAGCACGGCCACATCGCTCTGGGAGACATCTGCTCACGGGGCACAGACACACAAACCCAAATCAGCAGAGCTTGTCTGTGTCACACCAGCCTTGGCATCTTTCTGACTGTTCTTCCCTCTCATTTTATAGCTGCTAGCATATTACTGTTTAAAGTTTTATAGCTAAAATGTACCGACTGGTCACTGGAAATATCAGTTTAAAATCTTGTTCTCTCTCTGCTCCCCTCTTCTGCCCTTACCATGAATCTTGTGATGGATTAGGAGTGAGTTGATGGCAGATGAGCTGTTTTGATGGGAATGAGCAATCAGCAGGGAGCAGCATAATTGATGTCTGGCAAATGGAACCCTCTGGTGAAACTGTGTCAGCATCACACAGAAGGGTGATTAGTAAAGTTTAGAAACTTGACAGAACTACAAAACCGCAAGCCCAGCAAAGGCAGAGCATTACTGTGCTTGCTGCCAAGAGGGAATAAAGACATCTTTCAGAGAGGCAAATACAAGTCTTCTTCCTAGAGATGCCCCGCAGCCTGCATTTGCATATCCAACTGCAGCTGCTGAAGCTCTGGCACTAGAGGAACCTGAGGTTCCCAGAGCTCCTCACTGTTCATACAGAAACTTTAAACCTGCAAAGGTGTTAATACAAATGTGGACAACATCCATACATGTTAACACAGATACAGATATCACATATCCACTTCAAAATGCACACACATGTTATACATGCATGCATGTTAATACAGAAGGGACATTTTACCGTTAAACATGCATGTTAATGCTGACACTGGCATCATATTGTACGTGCATGTTAACGCAGGCACACACATACATGTGAAGTATACATGCATGTTAATAGAGATACACACACCAGACAAGCAGTGGGGGCAGCAAAGCTTCCTTCTAACTTAGTTCCTTATATCCTAAGTCTGAATTAAATGTCGCCACTGACCTTTACGTAGATGCTTTATTGATATTCATATTATTTTGTTCAAGTCCCAACTACTTCAGGAACTGGGAGTGAAACTACCGGAGTTGCCATTTTTGACTATGAGCCTTTGAAAGTAAAAATTGGTAAGAACTTTGCTCTTAACTTGTTAAGTTATTTTACCTTTCAAACTAGCCCCTTTTACTTAATCCTTTAACAATCAAGGAGCTATATAGTTAAGGGAACGGTATATACATGTACACATTTTCTTTCTTTTTCTAAGTATATGTGAAAATATGAAACAATCTAATGAACTTCTTTTTGAGAATTGCCCAGAAAATATATTGAAATGCCATGAATCTTGATTGGCTATTTCTCTGCGCAAGTTAGTGGCTGTATGTCAATGATAAAGAGTTGTTCCCTTTCTTGGACATCTTTTTTGCATTTTAAATTAATTTCATTGAGATATAATTTTAAAAAAATACTTTTTATTGATCTCAGAGAGGAAGGTAGAGGGAGAGAGAGAGATAGAAACATCAATGATGAGAATCATTGATTGCCTGCTTTCTGCACACTCCCTACTGGAGATTGAGCCTGCAACCTGGGCATGTGCCCTTGACTGGAATCGAACCTGGGACCCTTTAGTCCACAGGATGATGCTATATCCACTGAGCCAAACTGGCTTGCGTGAGGTATAATTTTTATATAATAAAATGCATACATTTTACGAGCCTGGTTTGATGGATTTTGACAAATATAGGCACCCATGTAACTACTACCTACCCCAATCAAGATATAAAACATCACCCTAGATCAACCCCTCCAGCCCCATTCCCAAATCACCACTGTTCTGCTTTTCATTTCCTTTGTCCTTTTTAGCCTATCTTCTTCTCTGACTCTCAGCTGAGGTGGTAAAAATGTCCCTCTACTTGAGTCTGGCTCAGTATCCTTCTTTCAGGACTTTTATAATTTTTATATAATAAAATGCATACATTTTAAGAGCATGGTTTGATGAATTTTGGCAAATATAGGCACCCATGTAACTACTACCTACCCCAATCAAGATATAAAACATCACCCTATATCAACCCCTCCAGCCCCATTCCCAAATCACCACTGTTCTGCTTTTCATTTCCTTTGTCCTTTTTAGCCTATCTTCTTCTCTGACTCTCAGCTGAGGTGGTAAAAATGTCCCTCTACTTGAGTCTGGCTCAGTATCCTTCTTTCAGGACTTTGCAGCAGAATAAATTGACATTCAACCACATATTTATAGTAACTTCTCTTTTTTAAATTAAAGTACATTATCCTTTGACATCAAGAAATAATAGTTACCAACACCGAAATTCCACCTTACAATTTTTGAAAGACTTTTCCATGATGTTACCTAATGTGATCCTTACAACAGCTCAATGAGGGATGGAGGCCCTGTGATTGGATAGTCTAATCTCATGGAGAACTCAGGGAGACGAAGTGACTTGCCCAAAGACACAGGGTGAATTGCAGAGCAAAGACCCAAACCAGCAGTGAGCTAGTAAACCCGCTCTCTGGCATTTAATAATTAAATAAGCCTTGGTTTGTAGCACTCTCCAGTTTCTGTGGTATAAATATTCCCACCGTAGTCAGTGATGTCACTCAACCTGCCCTTGGGAAGAGACACACATACTTGGCTCCTGTGAACGGAAAGGAGCGTCCTCTCCACTGAAAAGCCCAGGTTTCTGACTCCATATCTCTCTCCACTGCTCCTTGCAGCCTCTCTACATGAGGATGACTCTTATCTCATAATTTTTATATTTTAGGATAATTTGTTATCCTCACTTTATTTAATGTTTTTAAATGAAGTCCATGCCTATTGCCTCCATTGAAAATCCCTGTCCTAGGCATTGGTTCCCGAGCCATCAAACCCACGCTGGGACTGATTGACCCTCTGCACACCCTGCACATGCCTGACCGGGTGGTCGCCAACAGTGGCTTCGATGTGCTTTGGTAGGTACCTGGAGGGGCATTTTCGGTACCTGGGTCTATGGACAGTATTTTGTTTTCTTTTTTTCTTTCTTTTTTTTTTTAAAGAACAATAAGCACCTTTATTTCATGAGCTAAGATAGGAAGGGGACTTATTTGCCTTTTTGGGCCTTGATTTTCCTCAGCTAGAACTCCAGGTCCTTGCCCTCTAATTCATAACCATCTCCTCAGCCAAGTCTGGTCTTGGAGTGATGCATGCAAGAAGCTTGCCCTCTCGGAATTGCTCCTCTGGAAGACTGCTGATTGTAGCATTCTTTTCCCTTTCATCATATTTCTTCTGAATTTTCCTTGATCGCTTTTTGTTTAAAATCTCTTCCTCCTCAGAGTCTACTTGACCCCCTTCTTGCAGCCCAGAGGCAGTGCCTAATGGGACTCATACCACCGTGGGTACCATGTGCTATCAATGAGCAGGATACAGTTCTTTAAGAGGGTCTTGGTGCAGACCAGTTCATTGTTGGATGCATTCTAGACAACATCAATAATCCTTGTTTTGTGCATATAATACTCTGAACCCCAGGAGAAGTTGCTCACGTCCAGCCTCAAAGCTCCCTACTTCTTGTTGCCTCTCCGCACACAGACTGGGTGTGTATGGCAAGGCCAATCGTAATGTCGACAGCAGGATATCCCAGCTCATGTTTTCAGTTCTTGTGGTAGGGCTTTCTTTTGCCCCAGGTCTTGCGGCGCTTGTGCCAGTGGTTCTGAGAGATGCCCATGCTCGACACCAGCTGGAAAGAATGCAGTGTTTTCTTACTGAAATTACTGACTAAGCATTCATTGATTAGCATGCCACAGCAACCCCAGCTTGAACTGTCATCATTCCCTTTCCTAGATGAAAACAAGGACACTGTTAGTGAGTAGGTTAGTGAATAAGTGAGGCCCTGGGTGAGCCAGAAACCTGCCATTCAGGATGGACCATCTCAGCCACAGCTGTGGCCACAGGGACATGGCAAAAGGAGCAGCCGGAGCTGGCATGCCTTGTGGCTACACTAACCAGGGAGTGCCCAGGGCTGCCACAACACGGAAGAAGGCAGGGAGGGGAGCTGACATCCCCTGAGCTGGACCGTGCACACCGTGTCAGCACTTTATATACATATCACTTCACCACAGCTCTGTGCCAGGTGAGAACTCGCTTTGAGATGTTTAGTAACTTACGCATAGTCTACCGCAGGCTCCCTGGGCTTTAGCTCCGTGTGCGATGGCTTCCTAATCAGTGGCTTCTACCATAAACCTCGCTTCTGAGCTCCAGGCCATTCATTCCAGTGGCTTCATGGAGGTCCCATGGGCACTTCACATTCAGCATGTCCTAAATTACCCTATTTCATCCATTTTCACACACACATTTTTTTCATATTCTAACATCTTAAATCAGAACATATTTTAAAATCTGTAGCATGGCAGTATCATTTTCTTCCTCAGTGGTATAGTTTTTAAATGGAGATTTGATAAAATCTGATAATTCTTTTAATTTCCAATAAGCCCTCCCTGCCCGCGCCCCCCACACACACACACACACCACCACCACCACCAACAACAACATGCCCCATGGCTTCTCTTCTTGAGTCCCTTAACGTAGTGAGCAGCAGGACTCAGTATGGACATCTCCTTTCTCTAATGCCCACACCAGCCAGCAGAATCTCTCTTAGATCTGCTCCCTCTTCTCAGGCCTCATTGCTCCTGCCTTGGTTTAGGCCTACCCCAGCTCTTGCCTGGACGGTTGCAGTAGTCTCATCATCAGTCAGGCTGTTTCCATCCCATAGTCCTTCCTCCTGTCTTCCATGCTGGCCTCACCAAGCTTGCAGAATCAATACACACACACACACACACACACACACACACACCTCTACCTTACAAGTCTTTCAACCCCTGCTATCCAATGTCCAAATTCCTTTGGCCCTGGAATGTTCCCAATGCTCTGCTCTTTATCTGTTTGGATAACTCATCTTTCAATTCCACTGGAGCATTCTCTCCCTGATGGAACCTTTTCTGACCCTCACCTTCCCTCTCCTCAAGTACAACTGACCACTTTGTCCTTTGCTCTCCCCCACTGGGGGGCCTGTACATTGCTTCTGACACACCCCTCTCTTCACATGCCTGTCTCCCTCAGTGCAGTGTGAGCTTGGTGAGGGCAGAACCATCTTACTCACTTATCTGTCCCTGCCCCTTGCAAACAAACTGTCACTCCATAGGTACTCAATTAATAGCTATTGAAGTTCACACAAGCAGGAGGCAACAGAGTAAGGATTCAAATCCAGGTCTCCAAATCCATGGCCTGCTTTTTTCACTACATTACGCTGCTTACCAAAAAACTGGAGAAAATTGTGTTCAAATCCTTCCTGGTCAAAGTTGTCAGTACTTTGAAGAGTCATCCCCTAACAACTTAGAAATAAGATTACCCTCCCTAACTGGAAGCTACATAATAAATTTATAATGGACCAAAGCAGTCACCTTTAAGTGAAGAACTCATAGGCCCAAAGACTTCACTGCCAATCAAAAGCGGGGGGGAGGGAGTTCAGAAGAAAGAATGATGGTAGTTGCCCTTCTAAGTATTTTCCAAGGAAGAGGACACCTCCCCTGAGGAATCTGCCCCTGGGGCCCAGTGGCCAGTTCTGAAGATGGACACACCCATGAATTCAACCTTAGAGGCAATTCCCCTTGTTAGGACTTTGTGGGGCTGACTAGTGGAATGCACTGTGGTTATCTGTACCACATAGCATATCCACAGTGGAGTGAGTACATTTCCAAGACAGTTTGTAATCATAATGGAGGGGGGAAGGAAGACCATGTTTTCAATTTGTGTATTTTAAATATTTCTTGTTAGCCATGCCCTGGAGTCCTACACTGCCCTTCCCTACCACATGCGGAGTCCCTGCCCTTCAAATCCCATCTCCCGGCCAGCCTACCAGGGCAGCAACCCAATCAGTGACATTTGGGCAGTCCACGCACTGCGGATCGTCGCTAAGTATCTGAAGAGGTATGCCACCCAGAGGGAATAGAAATAGAACAGAAAAACCACATTCCACCCTTATGTAAAATGTACCATGCCAGATCCTGACATGTCCTAAGTCTGTTCACCAAAAGGTCAGTCAGTGGACGTAGAGAAGCCTCAGAAAGCTTCTGGGAAGATGAGAGGAATTGGAGGTGGGGAAGGAGAAGGGGAGGGGCGCACATGTGAAGACAGCTGAAAACTGGGTCCTTCAGTCTGAAAAGGGTAAAATAGGAGTCCCTAATTTATGAAAGATGCAGCTATAAGGTTTATTCATTGACGCCTCAAAACCTAAGCTAGGATGAGGAGAAATGTCCTTTGAGATTTGGCTACCAATGCCAGACAAGAGAACCACAGAGGCAGATGTTGGCTGTGCCCACCGGGGCCCTGGGCAAAGGCACACGGAATCGGCCCAGTGAGCACACTCGGAGGAGCTAAATAGAAGCATTAAATGTGTGGAGTTGTCTGTCCCAGGAGACACAAAATGCTTCCTAAAAGGTTATAAAAGATTTATGAATGACATAGCCATAATAGGCTCCTGGGAGAGCAAATATATACTTAGAGATGAAAGCTGATCTCGGAGACATGAAGACATCTGCAAAGTCAGACTCACTTGTGTACTTCTGCATAAGGGAGGGAAAGCACACAGCAGGTTAGGCCTAGATGTGAGCATGGTGCCTCCTCTGGCCCTGAGCTGGAAGCTGCTCTGGAGAGGGGACTGAGCCGGGGAAGGGACACAGAACTATTTCAGGCCCAGGGACTATCGGGAAGCACAGAAGCATTTGGGTAGAAGCGCATACAGATAACTGTCAGCCGTGTGTTTGGGCAGGAGCGGAAGGCAGGAGCAGCAGTGGGAGGTGAGGGAGTAAAACGGACAGAGGAAAGGCTGAAGCGCCATCGTTTACTATTTTACCTTGTTATTCGGGGGACACAAAGCGAACAACTGGGTTTTGGAAAGGAGACTCAAACGCCCAACCATTTCAAATGAAAGCGGGGGAAACGCTGTGGCACTCTTATTTCATAACAGGAACCCTTAACTCCAGGAAAAATCGCAAAAAAAGCAAGTGGGAAGTGGTTCGCTTGGCAGTCTCAGGCTTCATCCCCAGGACAAGCAGTGAGCTGCATCTGAAAGGGGCCTTTGAGAATTTGCTTTTCCAAAGTGGCACCGGGGACAAATAGAGCCAGCAAAAGCTTGTCCTACAATAACATCCCACTTCCACAATAACAAATATTTAAATAACATGTGCAGTTTCTACAGATAACAAAAGAGGTCTCCAGTGGGTCCAATCGGGGCAGTGTCACAGGAAGAAAGATGGCTGGGCGGGCTGCAGGTAGCCCCAGGCGACAAGGACTCACTGCAGGGAACCCGTCTGGGCCCTGTGCACTCCGAGTGTGTGTTTACTCTAAGCCCATTCACAGCTGCAGTCAAGGTCATTGACAAATGAAGAAGAAGAATGAGTCTCAGGGCACTTGGCTAGAGCAGCTCTCACAATCCAAGGGTCAGTGCGCTGCCTCCCCTGGCACTTTTATCACATGAGCAGCCTGACAGCGTATTTATTATGCCTCTGCTGAAACCATTGATGAGAAAATATGTTTACCCTCAGCTTTCCTTGAGAAGACAAGATGTCATGTGAATAACTTGCCTAATTTTTCTTCCTACCAAGTACCATTTCTTTTTTTCCAGCTCTTTCCCTCAGGCGGCTCTTTATTCAGTAGGAAATGCCAGTGCTGATATGTTATTGTTAGGAATTTATATCATCCACAGGGCTGTCAGAAATCCCGATGATCTTGAAGCAAGGTCCAGTATGCACTTGGCAAGTGCTTTTGCTGGCATTGGCTTTGGAAATGCTGGTGTTCATCTGTGGTGAGCGAATTGGAGATTTTATTTCTTCACCTAAGCTGCTGCTCTTAAATTTTTAAACTGTTTATAACTTAGGACAGGTGGTGATATTTAAATATGTTATAGAAAGAAGATATTTAACTTAGGGTCCTGGAATGTTTTCTTAATTCAAATGTAATTTATTGGGTCACAGATTTTTTTTTTTGGTAACAATTTCTTGAGATATAATTCGCACATTATATAATTCACCTATTTTAAATGTGCAGTTCAGTGGTTTTTAGTATATTCACAGTTACCATTACCACAGTCAGTTTTAGGACATTTTATCACCCAAAAAAAGAAATTCTATACCTCTTAGCCTTCACCTGCCAATCCTCCTATATCCCCAGTCTTAAGCAACTACTAATCTACTTTCTTTTTATAGATTTGCCTATTCTGGGCATTTCATACAAATAGGATCATATAATATCTGGTCTTTTGTGTCTGGCTTCTTTAACGTAGCATAATGCTTCCAAGGTTCATTCATGCATGTATCAGTACTTCATTCCGTGTTATTGCCAAATAACATTCCATTGTGTTGCTTTTTCACATTTTATTTATTCATTCATCAAGTGATGGACATTTGGGTTGTTTCCACTTTTTGGCTATTGTGAATAATGCTGCTATGAACATTTTTCATTTCTGTTGATTATATATACCTGGGAGTGGAATTGCTGGTAATTGTTTAAATTTTGAGGAACTTCCCAACTGTTTTTCACAGCAGCTGCATCATTTTACATTCCCACCAGCAGTGGATGAGGGTTCTGATTTCTCCACATACTCTGCATGTGTTGTGGGGGATTTTTAAAACCTCAAATGCAGAATTTTTTCTTCTAATCTCTGACAAAAAGAGAGATCAGAGTCTTTGCCAATAGCCCAGAATTAATCTGTTTGATCAGAACTTTACTGGTATATTGCCTTCAAATTGAACACCAGTGAACATGGAGAATTAAGAATTTTTTAGGGAGCCCTGACTGGTTTGGCTCAGTGGATAGAGCGTTGGCCTGCAGACTGAGGGGTCCCAGGTTCGATTCCGGTCAAGGGCATGTACCTTGGTTGTGGGCACATCCCCAGTGCGGGGGTGTGCAGGAGGCAGCTGATCAATGTTTCTCTCTCATCAATGTTTCTAACTCTCTATCCCTCTCCTTTCCTCTCTGTAAAAAGTCAATAAAGTATATATTTTTTAAAAAAAAGAATTTGTTAGGGAGAGTACAATAAAATAAATGGTCTCCCCCAAACTCTGCTGCTGAGAGGAGCACAGATTGTCACTACCTTTCTAAAAAGCAAGTGAGCAAAATCTCCCCAAAGTTTGAAAAATGTGTTTACCTTTTGTCCCACTAATTTTACTTCTAGAATGTAGCCTTTAAAAATACCATATGATCAAAGAATTTCCTTATAAGGCTAATCACCGAAGTGTTATTTATAATTGAAAAATGTGGAAGCAACCTAAATTTCCAACAGATTAGGAATGGTTGACCAAAGTACAGTACTCAAAGAATAAAATAAGGCTATTAAAAATAATGTTTTAGAAGAATACAAAATGATATGGGAAAATGTTTACAAAGAATATTAAGTAACAAAAGCATTGTTTAAAACTGAATGCAGAGTATGATCATATATTAAAGATGTGCATAAAAAGACTACAAGGAAATATTCTATAATGGTTATCTCGAGGAAATAGAATTATGGATTCTTTTAATTTTTTACAAAGAACATATACAACTGTTAAAATAAAAAATTAACTAAAATATTGACTATAACTAGAAAGGTATCTTTGAAAGCTACATGAACCCTTTCACATCATGAAGGCACACTGGGAAATAATTTTCTGAATACTTTGGAGCCTGAGAAATGTAAAACATATTCCAAAATAGCCAACAACTCAGAGGACCCATAGCCTTCAATCTGTCTCATGAAAGATGGTAGGCTAGGGCCCACCCCCCTTTTTTTTGGATAGATAATCATACACTTCACCAAATATTTCATCTTTCTATGAAATGTAAATTTTTTGGTAAATATGCACAAAGCCATCCAATATAACCCATATTAATAGACTTACAGGCCATTTTACTATTATAAAATATTTTATTTTTTTTAAATATATTTTATTGATTTTTTACAGAGAGGAAGGGAGAGGGATAGAGAGCCAGAAACATCGATGAGAGAGAAACATCGATCAGCTGCCTCCTGCACACCTCCTACTGGGGATGTGCCCGCAACCAATGTACATGCCCTTGACCAGAATGGAACCTGGGACCTTTCAGTCCGCAGGCCGACGCTCTATCCACTGAGCCAAACCAGTTAGGGCACAAAATATTTTATTTTTAATACATTAATTGTAATGATACTAACTTCTAACAATGTATATCTCCTGAATCATCTATTAAACTATAATATTATCCTATTTGTTCATTAAGAACTCAAGAGGATATAAATAGTTTTTCCATTCTCCCCCCCCCCCCAAATATTCCCATAAATAAAAATCATGGTGCTGTTTCATAATATTATCTATTTGTTCATTAAGAACTCAAGAGGATATAAATAGTTTTTCCATTCTCCCCCCCCCCCCAAATATTCCCATAAATAAAAATCATGGTGCTGTTTCTTGAAAGTCTTTCAGACTAGAATAATCATTTATGATTCAACTCCATTAGTATGTAACATTCTAAAGGATGTATTGATCATTGGTGGGACAGATCACTGACGGGTCAAACTTGCATGTCTAATGTATCACATCTTGGTTTATAAATCTCCCACTGACATGGTTAACTTGTGCAGAAACACACTGCCAAAATATTGCAGAGCAAGATAAAAAACGCATGCCCTGAAATGTATTAAAGAAACTTCAAAGTGAATTCTCAATTTCTTCAAGATTATGAGGTTAACCAATGTATTTGGGGAGAATCTTCTGTATTAACAGGTTTAATGGTATACAATTTTATGAGCATTTGAATTTGAATAGTTCAGAGGTTTTAATGTGAATAACACCAAATAGCGAGTGCATACCAGTATTTTTATATAGCAAAGAAAACAAAGTGGATAACTTTGTGAGATAAAGGTATTGTCTAGAGACTGTGAAGAGCTCTCCCATAAGAGTGAGTATCTTTCTATTATCTTGAATTTCTGGTATCTTTATGTCAACATAAAGGCTTCCTTTCTTTTCTAGCCATGGAATGTCTTACCCGATTTCAGGCTTAGTGAAGACATATAAAGCAAAGGAGTATAATGTGGATCACCCATTGGTGGTAAAATCATAATACATTTTTTAATTAAGTCTTATATTCCTTGCAATTGCTATAAATGTATTTGTCAATTCTTGATTGCTCAGAGTACAGGGTAATTTAATATCTAGAACAAGCAGTTGGCGGCCAGTTTTGCCCATCAGTCACCATGTTTTGTTTCTCCGCAGCCTCATGGCCTTTCTGTGGTGCTCACCTCCCCAGCGGTGTTCACTTTCACAGCCCAGATGTTCCCTGAGCGGCACCTGGAGACGGCAGAAATATTGGGTATGAATCATTACTCGTAATCCTGTGACCCACATAAGTGGAGCACTTCCTAGGTTTGATTCCGAAGATAAACCATAAAGGATAATACTAAAAAAATGTTGCTTTGAGGTAGTTTAGTAATAACTTGTCACTGACCTGCACAATTTAGTGCTAAAATTTTATAATTGTATGTTCTAATATTCTGGTAACAGTGAAATGGAACCAAATATTGCTTATGTTAAGTTTGGAGTAATCATATTTCCAGTTTTCATCCCCAATGAAAGTGAAAGTCTTTACATACTACAAATGTGGTAAATGATTTTGGTGTGTTTAATAGGTAATAAAATGAATCTAATTCCCAATTATAGAGAGTCTAAACAACTAGAAACTGTATAAAAAGATCCCCAAAGGCGAATATTTTTGCTGCTCTGTAGAATAAGTAATGTCTGTAATAAATTTCCAGCAGTGCCTTTTGAATCTTACAAGAAATAAAATTATATTCAGGATAGCTTAGTTTAGTAAAATTTTGGTATTTTTCTAAGACAAAAAGGTCTTTTAAGTACACTTGAGTATTTGATTAACTGTCCAAACATCTTATTCCCCTACTTGTGTTTAGGGTAGGAAGGAAAAGTCTAAAAGAAAACTTCATTATACTCCTCTAGCACCAGCCGTTGGAGAGATTATTCCAAGAAGGTGGGAATGACCACAGACATCCTTCCGCGGGGCCTCTTCACTCTCACTCCTCTCTCACTCTGACATTTGTGCTTCCGGCATGTTCAGGAAAGAAGTCCAGGGCTTGGTTTTCCAGCATGTGCTGTCGGAAATGTGATGCCACCTTTACCAAGGATCTCGTGTTCCTTTTCCCTTTGGGACTAGGGATGTTGTTCAGCCATTTGTTGGGACTTAGATGCCTTTGGAAATATGCAAACAGTGTAAACAGACAGGATCCCACATAGTACATGGATGATAAATGGGAAAATCTTAGAGAACTTACAGCTAACATTCCAGGCAACCACCAAAATTACTGAGAAAGCGATTCCTCTGTTAGACAAAACCCAGGCCGGGAGAACCCACCAGTTTTTTTTCTTGTTGCATCGGAAATTTTGATTAATATTATTCTCTACGTGGCCATTAATATTTTGATTCCCTAAGTAATCTCAGGTTTTCTTAGTTTTATACCAATGTATTCACTTTCCTACCCTCTCTTTTTTTCTAAAACACTTCATAGAAAAACCCGGAGGTTTTGGTGGTGTGTTTTATGGCAGCAATCCCAAGAAAATAAAGATCTCATAAACCTCGTATCGTATGTTGCCTCTCCACCTACTCCATATTTTAGCTGCTGCTGTGTAATATACACTGGTCTTGTCAGGCAAGGTTTACCTTCCTGCCCAGCTGCTCCACCAACCAGCCCCGTATCTGGTTCTACTTATCCTTCTCCAGGATTACTAAACCAGTTCTCATTGTCCTAGGAGAGAGAGGTTAAGATTGGTTTAATAATGTGCTTCAGTATGGAGGTGAAACATACATTCCAGTCTCCTTTTGAGCAATACCGAGAAAGTGGACTTGGACGACAGCTTGAGGCATCCTGGGTAATAACTAAGGCTACATTCCATTTGTAAAGTGCTTCACTTCCAGGCAGTGACTGTGTTCACCTGGAATAGATAGAGTCAGGGGTGCTAAGGTTTGGGGATCAGGTTCCTTCAACTGGGAGCTTTCACCACCACCCTTCCTAAGGGCAGAACCCCTTGGCTCTTCCAGACTGATGTCTCTATAGTTTTGTGTATTAATTATTCATTATGTCCAAGTTCTGCCCTCTTACATCTCCAACGCTTGTCAACCTTCTTCCCCCTCCACCAGTGCTATCACCATCTACATGTTAAAAACTGTTTGCTGAGAGTCTTCATGTTCTTGGTTCTGTCTGACTAGTTCTGCAATATGTAGAGGAACCTGCTTTGCCCATTGGTAACAGAGTCCAAAATAAAAACTTTCTATAGCTATAGAGAGGAAATACTTTCCTTCCCTGGCCACACATAATCCACTTTTGTCATCTTCTTCCTTTCTGGCAGTCAGTGTTGGCGTTTTTGTACTTACATAGATCCTTGTCTCACCAAGTGTTTTTGCAAAGGGTTTGTCTCTTCCCTAAAGGTTGCTGTGAGAAAAGACATTGAACATGTAATACCTCTAGATGTCAGCAAATTCCAGGCCTTGAAAGTTACATAAGCTGTGTTTTCTGCCACAAATGCTCCTTCTTCTTCATTCAAACACCAGCCTTCTTTCTCGGTCTTCTTCCTGGGCCTCTTTTCTTGGCTCTGTTCCTTGTCTTCCCTCCCCACACGGGGCGAGGAGCCCGTTGGAAAGGTGAGAGCCCGGTTAGCCGCCCCAATGGACTCCTCCGCACTGGCCTGGCCCATCAGTCTTCTGTGGGGCTGCGCGCTGGGCCGGCCTCCATGCGGAGGCACATTGGTGCCCTTGTCCTCCGTGTCAGGGAGCCAGCCGTAGGTTATATATCACCTATCGTGTGACTGAATTGCACCCAGGGCCAACTTCCTCCTCTCTGTCTACAGTCAGTGCTTTGTGTCTTGCAGGAGCCGACACCCGCACTGCCAGGATGGCAGATGCTGGGCCCATTTTGGCAGACGCACTCCGGAAACTCCTACTCGATCTGGATGTGGATGATGGCCTAGCTGCCATTGGCTACTCCAAGGCTGACATCCCCGCATTAGTGAAAGGAACACTGCCCCAGGTAAGAGATGCAGAGCATCCTCACTCCCTTCTAGCTGCTGCAGGAAAGACAGGGTCCCACCTGGGGCACATTGAGGGAGATAAAGACTCAGGGGTCCTCCAGCGGCTCCCAGGTCTCCTCCACCAGATGGCGGCTCTCACACCCCACCCCCCCGGGGATGGGGCCAAGGCTCCCTCACCTTTATATTCTTCCATAAAACTGGGGCATGTGTGAAACTTTTATGATGGAACTGAAAGGAGCCTTTATAAAAATTCAAGGCAAAAACAACCACATTTACATCGAGGTATGGCAAAATTCCCCTTTTCTCCATTTCTGCTCTTTTAAGAGTCCCCTATAAAACTATACGAAGCTGTTACTAAAGAGCCACTAATACCGTTTTCCATTATAAAGAATTACAGATTCCTACCATTTTGTGTAGAATAAACATGGCCTTTAAATTAAGACTACTACAAAATCACTGTTTTATATATTCGGGGGATTATATATTTTATACATAAACATATAAAATATGTCATACGCATATCAGCGTCTTATTTATTTAAATGTTGGTAAAGAATTTAAACTGAACTGCTATCCTTTATTTGGTAGAAAGATTGTAATAGATGTAGAGTTTCCCCTCCCAAGGTTCACATGAAGAGAATTCAACCCCCATTGACCTCTCTTCCATTTGGATCAGATACCCCGATACCCCTGTGCTATGGCATCAGATCCTAACAAGCCAATACCATAAAACAGAGAGCTGGAGTGCTCAGTTTGTGGAGCACACTGTGCTCCCCATGCTGAGTGCTCACTTAGTCGTCCTGTCCAAAATGGGAAAGCCTGGAGCACTTGAACACTGTGAGGACATGAAGATAAGGCATGTCTGCCCAAAGGTGTTCATGACTCTATCCCTGAAATGGGAACAGAGTTAACTGGAACATCCCCTCACACAGCATCCTGCTCACCCCACTCCAGTTAAAGCAAGGGCCTCACACTAGCTTCTTCCCCACTTAGCAAATGCTTAGAAAGTTGAAGCCCCCAGCTCATCTAAGATAATATTTGTACGAGTTCATTCATATCCACAGGAGCCAGAAAGGTAGCAACAGTGAACAAAGTAATTTAAGGCAATGGCAAGTGGTGGGGACTTTGGTGAACTGGAAAACTCATGGCTTATTTTCAGCTACAGTTTAGTATATCCAAGTAGAAATTCAGATAGATCTTCCAGTTTTCAAGAAAAATCCACAGTCTGGATGTTTGTATTGAATTCCCTCATGTCCCAATGTACAAAGCAAACATGGCCCATGGAACACCAGTTTCCCTGATATAGACTGGGAATCGGTGGACTCTATTGTATCTAAAAATATAAATGAATGAGAAAAGAGGAGTCTCACAGTGTAGCAAAGCTCCCAGGCTAACACAAACTCTTGGTTCTAACCCACAATCCCAGGGACTAAATGGCCAAAAAATATGATCATCCCAATTATTTTATCCAAATCTACTAGACTGTAAGTTCCATAAAGCCTGGAACCTGTCTGTTTTGGTCATCCATCCTCTATTGCATCTAGCATGGGCCAGTAAACGTGTTAAATAAACACATACATGCAACCCTTTCCTCCTATACCAGGTGAGCTTAATGGCTGAATGGTGGTAACTTTTTGAGAAATTTCCTTAGATTGAGTAGGAATCAACCAATGACAATGAGCAATTGTCCAGGGACACCAGGGACCAAATGGTTATTAGGATTTTGATGTAGTTCTGACTCTTATAATATAATTCCAGTGATAGTGTCCATTCTGCAGGGGATCTTCTGAAAAGTTCTGCTTCCATAGCCCAGGAAAGTGTTTGGTAATATGTGTTAGTCAACCTCTATGGGTGGTATTCCTAATTTTCCGATGGAACTGTATGATATTATTGGCCATTTAATTGCTGGTGGCAATGCATCTTCCAGGCATCAGGACACATTGGCAAGTGTTCACTGTTTTAATTCTACCTTGCTCAGACTTCCGCTTTCAGAAGCTGTTCCAGAGTAACATTTGAGTCCATCCACTAAAATAGCAAGTTAATTGGGTATTCTTCTGAATGCCTCAGCATACATATCGTACTGGGAAGTACAGATAGCAACACTTTAATTAGCCCTGACTGGTTTGGCTCAGTGGATAGAGCGTCGGCCTGCGGACTGAAGGATCCCAGGTTCGATTCCAGTCAAGGGCATGTACCTTGGTTGCGGGCACATCCCCAGTAGGAGGTGTGCAGGAGGCAGCTGATCAATGTTTCTCTCTCATCGATGTTTCTAACTCTCTATCCCTCTCCCTTTCTCTCTGTAAAAAATCAATAAAATATATTTTTAAAAAAACTTTAATTAGACAAAACTAATTTTTTTGTTCCACAAAGGATGCAAGGTAAATGGAATCTTTGGCATACAAGTCATGTCCATAAAGTAGGATTCCCTCAGGCTGTATTCATAAAGCAGCCCCAACATGTATGCTGCCTTTTTCTCTTTCGATCATGTTAGAAACATTGTTAATTTAAATGAACTATCAGCCTGGCTGGTGTGGCTCAGTGGTTGAGTGTTGACCTATGAACCAGGTCAGGACACATGCCCGGGTTTCAGGCTCGATCCCCAGTGTGGGGTGTGCAGGAGGCAGCTGATCAATGATTCTCTCTCATCATTGATGTTTCTATCTCTCTTTCCCCCTCTCCCTTCCTCTCTGAAATCAATAAAAATATTTTTTTAAGTATATAATATAGATATAGAGATAGAGATAGGTATGTAAATAGATATAAAGAGAGAGATGTTCACAGGACTTTAGAAGGAATCTTAGAAATAAACTTATCTTGCAAATGAAGAACTACTATGGGTTTTTTTTTGTTTGTTTGGCAACAGTAAACACTTTACAGGAATACTGTGGCAACTTCAGATTTTACACATGGGGCACACTAATCTTCACTTATTAGTATCACAGGATTTAAGGTAGTGAAGGGGATATAGTGGTTCCTGCAGAAAAGGTTATTTCATGGAGTCAGCATTTGATAAAGCTCCTTTTATGTTCAGCAACGAGGGATCGTTTTTCTCTGGAAGGAACAACCAGGCCAGTATTCTTGACCAAACACCGCAGCTCATACTGGCAGCGGCAAAGAGCAGCCCTGTGTGCACAGGCTTCCAACCGCCATAGCAGACTGCAAGGAGAGCGGGCAAGAATAAATTAATCTTCCAAGCTGGATTTCTGAAACTTCTGGAAAGAAACATTTACATTTCAAATCAAAACATTTCATTACTGAGGAGAGCTGTCTACCAAAATGAGCACTTCCACTCCCTGGCAGACAGGCCAGCTGAAATGTTGTTATTTTATGAATGTGCTAAAAGTAGTATGGATTTATTTCAGTGCCCATGTTAATCAGTTGTCCTTCGGTCTTACATGTCTATAAATAATAGCACATTGCAGAACACATCTTAATTCTGAGAGTTTAGCTTTTATATGGCATCGATGATGTGTGTGGGGATATATCACAAACGTTATGTCCTTGCCCCCATTTAACCAGTCGTTGGGGCGGGGGGGGGGGGGGGGGGAAAAAAAAACTCAGCTTGGGAAATACTTCTGAGAGTCCTGAACTACTTCACCAAAGATGAACAAGATCATTTTAAAGGCCTTTTAGCTCATCCAATAAGACTTACTCCATTATCGACCCAATAATGGGACAGTGTTCTTCACTTCTTGACCCTGCCACAAAGGCATCCATAGGTCACCATGACCAAGTCTCTGGACCTTGCTACAAAGTTTCAATGCAAATGAACAACTACCATGGAGATCTGCTGGGATGTATGTACACTTTTATCTTGGCTTTATCCATACTCATCAGTATTGACCCCCATTCTTCTCCCATCTGTCCATCTATCCTTCCTTTTTTTTTTAATTAATTTTTTAATTATGGTAAAATATACCTAACAAAATTAACTGTTTTAACCATTTTTAAATATACAATTTAGTGCCATTAAGTACATTTACAATCTTGTGCAACAATCACCACTGTCCATTTCCAGAACTGTTTAATCATCCCAAATAGAAGTTCTGCTCTATTGTGTAATGGTAAATAATATTACCATTGCCCCCTCTGTCCCTTTCCCCCAGCCCCTGGTAACCTCTATTCTACTTTCTATCTTTATGAATTTGCCCGTTCTAGATACTTCATGTAAGTGGAATTATACAATATTTGTCCTGTTGTTTTGCCTCGTTCACTTAGCATGATGTCTTCAATGTTTTAGAACTTCATTCCTTTTTGTAGCTGACTAATATCCCATTGTGTGGATATACCGTATCTTGCTTATCCATTCATCTGCAGATAGGCATTTGGGTTGATTCCACCTCGGCTCTTGTGAATAGTGCTGCTAGGAACATTGGTTTACAAGTATCTGTTTTAGTCCCTGGCTTCAATTTATTTGGGTAATTCCATGTTTAATTTTTTTGAGGAACTGCCAAGCTATTTTCCACGGTGGCTACACCATTTTACATTCCCACCAACAATGCTCAAGGGTTCCAGTTTCTCCACATCTAACACTTTTAAACACTAGTTATTTTCCTTTTTTTAATTAGCCATTCTAATGGGTGTGAGTGGAAATTCATTGTGGTTCTGACTTGTGTTTTCCTAATGACTAATGATGTTGAGCTTTTTCCATGTACTTATTGCCTATTTATATTATCTTCCTTGAAGAAATGTCTAGTCAAATCCTTTGCCTATTTTTTTCCTTCCTTTTTTAAAAATATTTTTGTATTGATTTTAGAGAGGAAGGGAGAAAGAGATAGAAACATCAATGATGAGAGAGTCATTGATCAGCTGCCTCCTGCATGCTCCACACTGGGGACCGAGCCTGCAACCTGGGCATGTGACCCTACTGAAAATCGAACTGTGACCTCCTAATTCATAGGTCGACGCTCGAACATTGAGCCACGCTGGCCAGGCTGCCTTTTTTTTTTTTTAATCCTCACCCAAGGACATGCTTACATTGATTCTAGAGAGAGAGAAAGTGAGAGGGAGAGAGAGAAATATCGATCAGTTGCCTCCCATATGTGCCCTGACTGGGGATCAAACCCGCAACCCTTGGGTGCATGGGATCACTCCAACCAACTGAGCCACACTGGCCAGGGATCCTTTGCCTATTTTTGAATTGGGTTGTCTGGGAGTTTTTGTTGTTAAGTTGTAGCAATTATTTGTATATTCTGGATAGTAATCCCTTATCAGATATCTGACTTACAAATATTTCCCCATTCTATTAGTTATCTTTTCATTCTTTTGATAGTGTCTTCTGATGCATAAAAGTTTTTAATTTTGATGTAGTCCAATTTGTCTGCTTTTTCTTTTGTTGCCTATGCTTTTGGGGTCATCCAAGAAATCATAGCCAAATCCAATGTATGAAGATTTTCCCCTATTTTCTTCTAAGAATTTTAAGGTTTAGCTCTTAGATGTAGGTTCATTTTGAATTAATTCTTTTCATTCTTCCTGTTACCTAAGAAAGACTTAGTGAAGTCATACTATATATAACCCATTGTATGGGATACAGTGGGGAGGGAAGGAAAGTCCCTCCCCTTTCTCATGGAGCTTACATCCCAGTGAGCAAAGACAGACAGTGGACATCTAATAAAACCTGTAAATAAGATACAAGTAAAATCATTTTAGATACTGATAAGTGTATGGAAGAAATCTTGGTGATTTCATGTAGTGTTGAGGGAACTCCAACAAAGGTGGTCAGAGAAGGCCTCTAGTTGGAGGTGGAGGCAGCCAAGTGAAGATCTGGGAGAAGCACCCCAGGCAGAGGGGAAAGACTAAGGCAGGGTGAAGATCAGCACTGTCATAGGACTGAATGGGGATGGTGGGACTAAGTGAGATGAACCGATGAGAGAAGAGGTAGAGCTGGAGTGAAAACCAGGGCCAGATAAGGTGGCATTAAAGGCTATGGTTTTGTTCTAATTGCAACGGGAAGTCATTGGAGAGCATTAAGCAAGGGAATGGTATGATCAGATTTATAACAGTGGGGGGAAAGGGAGCGATGGGAGGGGAGGGGGCACAGGGAGAAATGCTGCCATTAGCCATTTGCCTCTCTCTAGGGGGTGAGAGTGGAACAAAAGGTAAAACATTTTTATTAAATTAAAAAGAAAAGAGGCCTTTCAAGTAGAACAGAGGAGTGGAGGTGACTTAGACTTGGACTGTGGTGGAATGGGAGGTGAGAAGCAGTTGGATTTGGGATTTATTTTGCAGGTTGGTCCGACAGACTTGCTGATGGATTTAACACATAGGGAAGGGAAAGAAGAATCAAAGATGGCTCCTAGGTTTTTGCCTTCGTAACTGGGTATCATTTCTGAGATGATGAAAATGGGAGGCAGGGAGGCAAGGTTCTTCTATCTTGTATGTGAATTTTGAGATGCCAAGATCCCCTCTCCCCCTCCCCCCTCCCCCCTCCCCCGTCTTCATTAATTCAACAAATAACTGTTGAGGACCTATTTCCTCTGTGCTAAGCACTCTGGGAGGTGCTGGGCATGGAGTGAACCCAGCCCTGCCCTCACGGAGCTTCCCTCTTCCACCAGGTGTGCTCCCAAACACGTGCTTAGCACAAGAAAACAGACCGAGAGACCCAAATTGATACATTTTTTAAATTTTATTTAGACCCAGAAATTTGGACACAGAGTAGTCATTATAATATCTTTTAATCTTCTGTCCCAGAGAAATCAAGGAGCCTAGCTCTGCCGACTTGACTCAATAATCAATGGAAAAATTAAGCAAGTCACCAAATTCGTTTGCAAAGGTAGAGATAAAACCTTAGTTAATATTTAAAAAGGAGTCCCTTGTTGCCCATAGCCTGAAATTATGTCCTAATGAAGTTCTTTTGACTATCCCTGAAGTCCAAGTTGCAAAATATACAGTCTTTGAAGTCAGGGATGACCTAGTTCTCTTTTCTTTGCTGTGCCTGGGACCCGCACCCGGAGAACTGGCCAAGGTTGCTGACCAACACGGTTTGGTCATTATAGGAGGTGTTTTTCCTGAGGTTGGTTTAGTTCTGTACATTTGAGCAGAAGACGATTGGCAGGGCATAAGGCGAGGACAATTAGGCAAGGCATAGGCGTTTGAAAGCTGTATAGCACAGGGAATCTAGTCAATAGTATCGTAACAACTATGTGTGGTGCCAGGTGGATACTTGAAATGTTGGAGGATCACTTTGAAAAGTATATGGTTGTCTAACCACTATGCTGTACACCTGAAACTAATACAAAATAATATTGAATGTGAACTGTAATTGAAAAATAAAATGAGAAAGCTTTGTGGGAAAGAGGCGTCACTTGATAAACTTTTGAGTTGGGAGTCAGCTAGTATGAAGCAAACAAGAAATATGACTTTTAAAGATAGAACTATTATAAAGTCATTGTTTCTTGCGTCCAGGTTAATTTGCATAACCTAGTAGCTTTTACAAACTGCCTTTTCAAAGCTCTGAGTAACTCCTTTTGTTTACCTTTTCAGGAAAGGGTCACCAAACTTGCACCACGCCCGCAGTCAGAAGAGGATCTGTCTGCCCTATTTGAAGCTTCAATGAAACTGTATTAATTTTCATTTTCACTGAAAGAATTGGCTGTGATAGTTCTGAAATCAGAAGTTGATCTAGTCAGAGCTCCACACATAACTTACCTGTTACCAGTTTGAATGTGATATAAATTTATCCTGCAGAAGATTCCATGATGCTCAAAAGTCAAGCTACTTCCATAATACAGGTTAGACAAATGCCCAAAAGTATTGGATCCTGGTTTGTGTTCCTTCCCTATATTCTGAAGACTGTCCCTGCTTCATGTATCAATTGGGTAAAAGTTCAGTATCAAAAATATCAATGTGCATATCCTATGTGCAGTAATCCATGTCTAGAAATTTATACTATAAAAGTACTAGCATGAATGTGTAAAGAAATATGGCAAAAATGTTTCTGGCAGCATTTTTTTCTAACAAAAAAATTTGAAAGAACCTAAATATTCATTAATAATATATTGGTAAATAAATTACAGTATATTAAATAATAGAATGCTATTGTGTTATTAATAAGAATGAAGTAAAATGATTGGAAATATGTTCATGATATACTGCTAAGTTGGAAAAAAGTAAGTTGCTGAACAATTATATATTAGTATGGTTTGGTTTTTATGTTTTTAATTACATGTAAATATATGTTTATATGTACATAGGAAAAAAGGATGCACATCAAAATATTAAAAGTTATCACTGGAGAAATGGAATTTGAGGTATAGAGACTTAAGAGAAAATACTTTATATTTTAGACTTTCACTTTTTATTTTATGAATGTCTATATTGTTTGGATTTGTTACAACGAGCAAAGAAGTAATTTTAAAGGAGGGGGGAGAAAAGAAAGAAAAATACCATGTTTCTGTTCTAGGTCAGATTCATCTTGTTTTATGAAAATACTAGTAACTAATATTTAAAAGGTAAAAACAAATACAAAGGGATAAAATATTAGAGACTGATCTTCTGCCAAAGAAAATGTTCTTTTGAGAAAAACGCTAACTTTTTTTTAATTGAGGCAGCATTGGTCAGTAACATTACATAAGCTTCCGGTGTACAGCGTTACAATTATATATCTGTGTACACTATAGCTTGCTCGCTACCCAAAGTCTAGTTTCCATCTGTCACCAGGCATTTGAACTGCTTTAATTTTGCTCTCCTCCATTTTTCCCTCTAGTAACCACCAATCTGCAGTCTATATCCATGAATTTGTTTTTTGTCTTGTTTTGGTTTGTTTGTTTGTTGTTTTATATTCCCCATATGAGTGAAATCATATTGTTTTTGTCCTTTTCCCGCTGACATATTTCACTTAGCATCCATGTTGTTGCACGTGGCACTATTTCAACTTTTTTATGGCTCGGTAGTATTCCATTGTAAATACGTACCAAATCTTTACCCATTCATCCGTCAATGGACATTTAAGAGTTTTCATATCTTAGCTATTGTAAATAATCCTGCAATGAACATAGGGGTGCACATAACTTTTCAAATTAGAAAACACTAACATTTTACATGGTAATTCCCTCTTTGGAAAATGTTCCTGGTGTTCAGAATAAGTTAATCCAAGAGCAAGCAGTTTTGTAGTTTGCAGATGGTAGCCTTGCATACGGAATCTAAGGAGCGTGATGGTCTGCCTCCCTGTTATTCCCGACCTGCAGAAACTTCTACAGCTCATTTTTCCCCACAAGGGTTCCCACACTGAGATCTGTCTGCTCAAGCTTTGGGGTCTAGATCCCAGTGTATGTGTGGAATTATTTGCATTTTAAATTGAATTAAAGTTTTAATCACCTAAGTCATATCTATTTATTTAATCACATCAGGGCATCATTGTTCCATTCAACCTTGCCAGACCCACTTTATCTCTATAAAGATCTTTATTTCCTTGAGATTTTGAAAATAACATTTAAATAATGTTTATTGTAAAATAATTTGAGATATAAAAATGCATTTTCTATCTCTCTTAAGTGTTGGATGCCTTTACTACCGGTAGCCAGATGTCTGAATGTGACTCACCAGGAGGAGTGTTTGTTATTCATATTGATGATGACTCTAAAGGAAGGATTTAAAGGTCAAGCATGAAGAAACAGACTTAGGAGGCCTTCATACTTTTTTATCTTAATACCGATCACTTTTGGTCCTCACAATTTAAGTATATGAAAAAGGTATGTTTCTAGACGTACCAGCTATTAACAGAGTGTGAGGTAGGAGATTAAGCCCATTTCCATAAACTGAACACTTCGATGTTTCTGAGACAATTGAGTGCATTTTTCTAAATAAAATCCTTTTTATTTTATTTTCATTAAAAAATCAAAAAGTCCTCAGGTCTCACAGCTCCACTTATATGGGTTAATTTACTTGCAAGGGCAAGGAACATTAAAGAACAGTATTCAAAAGTTTGTGAAATATTACTTTTATAAAACTATCCTCTATGGTGGCATTTTCACTTAAAATACATGCACATCCAAATTTATTTCATGATACAAAATACCTGTTTCAAATGAGTCATGTTTCTACAGTTTTTGTCAAGTGCCACAATAAATAACTGACTGGTTTTGCACTCCTGTCCCTTCTCTATGCATAGGGAGTGCTGTGTTGGGCTTGGCATTGTTTGTGTAGCTGTGGATACAGCTGTGGGGTGTTTTCAGTGGTCAATGAACTAAGTCTGCTCTTGTAAAATCCAGACAGGTACAGTATCAAAATAGAGAGCAAGAAAAAAATGCTTTTCTGGCCTTTTAACCCTGAGAAAGATTAATGGTTGTTTGGATTAGAAACTGTACCCTAATGAGGGACTGTTGCCTCTGGGGAGTGGGTATGAGAGAGGGGACTGCTCACCTCTGGGTCAGTACCACACAGGCCGCTGTGTCTCTGATGACCAGCAACCCCAGTCTGAGACAGCTGCCTGGGCTGGGGCTCCTCCATTAAATGCATGATCTCCTGAGACCTGCTGAGGAGGCCAGGCCACATCCCAGCATCACCATCACAATGGCCTGCACCAGGAAAAGCCACCCTTTGACCAGAAATTGGTTCTTGAAGCCCTAGGCTGAATGACCGGCAGCTGGGGGTAGGAGGGTCTACTTTCTCATGCTATTATTCCACTGTCTTTCCAACCACCCCACCACCAACTCTCAGAATAAATAAATGTATAAGCCTCACAAATTGCAATCTTGTTGGTGATTTCGTCCCATGTGAAATCCCTCAGGAAGCTATGAGGAGGACAGCTAACTTTAAAATAACCTCATCTTATTCATTCTGGTTTTAAATATTAAGCTTTTGCATTATGGTGCTTTTACTTGATTTTCCAATTTATAAAATTGGAAACTAATTAAAATAATCGCAAGCGAAAATGAGAAAAAAAACTACCACCATGCCATTATCCAAACACAGCTGTTATCATTTGATATATTTCCTTTCCATCTTTTTCATTCCATCTAGCTCTTAAGGCCTAACATTTTCAGTATTTTCTATGTTGCCATATAATCTTCATAACCATTCATTTAAAAGGTGCATAATAGTTCATTGAACAGGAATTTAATTTATTCTTTTTATATATATATTTTTAAATATATTTTATTGATTTTTTACAGAGAGAAAGGGAGAGAGATAGAGAGTCAGAAACATCAATGAGAGAGAAACATCGATCAGCCGCCTCCTGCACATCCCCCACTGGGGATGTGCCCGCAACCCAGGTACATGCCCTTGACCGGAATCGAACCTGGGACCTTTCAGTCCGCAGGCCGACGCTCTATCCACTGAGCCAAACCGGTTTCGGCTATATATTTTTTTTTATTGCTTAAAATATTACAAAGAGTAGTACATTGGTCTCCTTAATTTATTCTTATAGGCCTTCAAGATTGCTTCCAAATTTTACCCTCCCAATACCATAGCAATGAATATTGTGTATACAGATTTTTTCAGACTCTAAATTAATTTCTGAGGCTAATTCATCCCGAAATGAAATTTTACAGTAGAGTATGGACATTTTTATGGCTCTTGATTTATATTGTTAAATTATATACATCTCACTATTGTTTTAAATGCTGCTTACCTATCCTTCAAACTTACTTCTCTTCAAAACCAATAGTAGTGTATAGAATAGGCAATATAATCAATAATATTATAATAACTATGTATGGTGCCAAGTGGGCACTTGAAATATCAGGGAGAACACTTTATAAAATATATAATTGTCTAACCATTATGCTGAACACCTGAAACTAATATAAAATAATATTGACTGTAAACTGTAATTTAAAATAAAACTTTAAATGAACAAATCAGCAACAAGTAATGAAACAAAGTTCACAAAGGACCAGGTAGACCTGCACATTTCAGCTGTGGTTTTTCCGTTATATCAACACTAGAGGCCTGGTGCACAAAATTCGTGCACTTGGAGGCAGGGGAGGGGGTCCTTCAGCCCGGCCTACGCCCTCTTGCAGTCCAGGAGCTCTTGGGAGATGTCTGACTGATGGCTTTGGCCCATGGGGTGCGGGCCTAAGCCGGCAGTTGGACATTCTTAGTGCTGCTGCTGAGGTGGGAGAGGCTCCTGCCACCACCGCTGTGCTCACCAGCCATGAGCCCAGCTTCTGGCTGAGTGGTGCTCCCCCTGTGGGAGCACACTGACCACCAGGGGGCAGCTCCTGTGTTGAGCGTCTGTCCCCTGGTGGTCAGTGCGCATCATAGCGACCTGTCCTTCCACTGTTTGGTCGATTTGCCTTTTATTATATAGGATAGTTTAACAATTCACATAAATTAAAATTTTCAAATAAAATTATGAAGCTTACTTTAGTGTTATATTACTGACTCAAGTGAAACTATATATAGATCACCAAGTCTATTTTTCTTGGTCACTTACTTTTTTTTTTTCTTTCTAGGACCCTCTTTGGGCCCCTAAGTCTATGATCTGTGTTATTACATTCATGGTCCTCAATATTGCTGGCCAAGAAAAAAGACCCAAGGAAGCCACATGAAAATATAAATGTCCTTTTCTCTAAGGATGTTCTAGAATCATTTGCACCTGTGAGTGAAAGCTTTGCTGCACTTGGGAGGGAGGTGAGTGACACCAAACAACCCTCCCCCCACCCCACCCCAACAAAATCCCTTCCAAGGATCCAAGTTGCTCTCTAATCCAAAATCTCTCAAAGCTTTGCAGCTGTACACAGCAGTCCCATGGTGGCTTTGGCAACATTTACTGGGGATCAATCTGAACTTTATACTAAGCATTGCATATGAAAAAAAGAATAATTGTAAAATCTATAAAAATAAAAGCATAATATGCTAATTAGACCGGACATCCTTCCAGACGTCCTTCCGTCCTTCTGGATGAAGCTGGGGCTATGAGGGAAGCCCGGGTCCCTGGTGCCAGAGGGAAGCCAGTGCCAGCAGCCGGGGGAAGGAAGGCCTACTCTTGCACGAATTTCGTGCATTGGACCTCTAGTAGTATATAATTGAAGAGATGTCCATATAGTGAAAATAGGCTGGAGTGACAGCCTGAGTAAGAACAGGCTAGTTTCTTTCATTTTTTACATCTCAATTAACAACTACAATAAACTCAGTACCTTAAAAAGTAGTTTCCCAAACATTGATTTGGGGAGAGGAGGAGAATTGGGGTTCTGCAGGCAGGGGTGTTTTGGAGGGGGCTAGAGAATAATTACAGGAACATGACATTTAGTAGTATTTTTAACCAAACTATTGACACTTAAAAATGTCAACTCTTGCCTGGCCGGTGTGGCTCAGTTGAGTGTCAACCTGTGCACCGGGAGGTCACCGGCTCAGGGCACAGGCCTGGGTTTCGGGCTGATCCCCAGTGGGGGCCGTGCGGGGCATGACCAGTCAGTTTCTATATCTCTCTCTCCCTTCCTCTCTTTAAGGAAAAAAAAAATCAACTCTTATGAAACACAGACGTCTATTTAGTAGAATACTATTACAGCTGGCAATAATAAACTAAAGACAATAATAATACAGGCATACCTCATTTTATTGCACTTTGCTTTATTGCACTTCAGTTTGATACACTGAAGGTTTGTGGCACCCCTGGGTTGAGCAAGTCTAGTGGCACCATTTTTTTCCAACAGCATTTGCTGACTTCATATCTCTTTGTCACATTTTGGTAATTCTCACAATATTTCAAACGTTTTCATTATTGTATTTTTTGTGATCTGTGATGAGTGATTTTCGATGTTACTGTTGTAATTATTTTGGGGTGCCATGAACCATGCCATATAAGATGGAGGACTTAATAAATGTTGTGTGTCTGACTTCTCCATTGACTGGCCAATCCCCCCATCTTTTTCCCTCTCCTCAGGCCTCCGTATTCCCTGAGACACAATATTGAAATTAGGCCAATTAATAAGCCTACAACAGCCTCTAAGTGTTCAAGTGAATGCAAGAGTTGCATGTCTCTCACTTTCAATCAAAAGCTAGAAATGATTAAGCTTAGTGAAGAAGGCATGTTGGAAGCTGAGATAGGCTAAGAGCTAGGCAGGCCTCTTGCGCCAGTTAGCCAAGTTGTGAAAGCAAAGGAAAAGTTCTTGAAGGAAATTACGTAAAAGTGCTACTCCAGTGACCACATAAATGATAAGAAAGTGAAAGAGCCTTATTGCTGATATGGAGAAAGTTTTAGTAGTTTGGATAGATGGAACCAGCCATAATATTCCCTTAAGCCAAACCCTAATCCAGATCAAGGCCCTAATTCTCTTCAGTACTATGAAGGCTGGGATGGTGGGGAAGCTGCAGAAGAAAAGTTTGAAGCTAGCAGAGGTTGGTTCATGATGTTTAAGGAAAAAAACAGTA